CTTGAATATTAATTTTAAAAATTAAATTTAAAAAATAATTAATAAATATATATTGATCACATTTCTTTCTACAGATCATCGTGCAAATAAAAATATTATTTTATTATATTAATATATTACTACACTAAAATAAAATTCGATCTATGAAAATAAATATTAATTTTTTTTTTCATAGATCCATCGGGTACATCAATAAATGTATTAATTAAAGCTTTAAAATTCGATCTAAAAGAAAAATATTGATCTTTTGTCTATTTATCTATCTCTCTCTTTCTCTCTCACTCTCTCTCATTCTCTCTCTCTCTCTCTCTCTCTCTCTCTTATCTCATTGAATTCAGTAGACCGGGATTAATCGTAGATGCACGTAGAGATCCAAGCAGAGATCCATTATCTCTCGACGATGCACGAATCAATCGGTTACCAATCGATTGGATAATTCGACTCGGCCTGCCAACAAGGAACCTTGAACATTAGGCATCAACGTCTGGTGCACTTGAACGCATCGACAAATTCGACGAATTTATTTCCGACAACGAGAACTACGATCGTGACTAATTTATAGTTTTTCTTATTCTTCTATCATTCCATTTACTTTTCAAAACTATTTTTGTTATTTTCTTAATTAGATTTTTTTTTTTTTGTTAAACAAATGGTAGGATTCGAGGATGGATGAGAAAGGAGTTATAGGATTTTTTATAATTATTAAATTAAATTTATTCTTATGCAATTTCTTTTTTTTTCTGAACGATATGTATACATATGTTATCGTAAAAGATTTCGTAGATACGTCAAGCGACCATGTGTATCTTGATTTTATCTAATTTTGATCTTTCATGTATATAAATAATCGAATTATCATTTATAATTGTATAATTTTTTTAATCCTTTCGTTATTAACGACCCATATATGGATCGTATTATGCACGACAACACGTGTGTACGATACTCAAACTAAAACATAAAACAACAAACAAAGAATTGATGTACAATTTTATTTTTAAATGCAATTATATATTACGTAATATAATTACGAATAATAATTCATATGGAAATAAAATATATCGATATAATGAAAAATAATTCTAAAATTAGAACAAGTTATATTGTTAAATTACAATTGAAATTATTAGATAACTCGAGAATCTTAGATTCCAAAATTATTTAATTATGTTTCGCTTTTTTTTTATTCGAATTCTTTCGATCATAACTATTATACCCCTTTCTTT